CACTCATGGTTAAAAAGTTGATTAAACCTTTGTGCTATTTTCATGAAACTATGGAGTAAATTATATAATTATCGCCATGTTTAATCATGCTTCTAGGACATGCTAGATCACTCAGTAATAGTGATGTCCCAAACTGTTCTCCGAACGGTTCGCGAACGGTTCGCCACAGTTCGCCACAAACTGTTCGCCACGGACTCATCATCGAGTAAACTTTGACCCTGTACCTCACAGTCAGCAGACACATTCCAGCCAATCAGCAGCAGACCCTCACTCCCAGACCCTCCCACCTCCTGGACAGCTCACTAAGAATGCAGCTTCACAATGAATGTAAAATGGATGCTGTCCAGGAGGTGGGAGGGTCTGGGAGGAGGGTCTGCTGCTGATTGGCTGGAATGTGTCTGCTGACTGTGAGGTACAGGGTCAAAGTTTACTCAATGATGAGTCCGTGGCGAACCGTTCGTGGCGAACTGTTTGCGAACCGTTCGGCGAACAGTTCGGCACATCACTACTCAGTAAATGTTTAAACCCATGAATCATCTCTCCTTCTCAATGTTTCAGAAATTCAAGACTCCTTGGAAAAAATTCTTTACCTCGATGCCTGTCTATGCAATTATTGTGGCAAACTTTTGCAGAAGTTGGACATTTTATCTGCTGCTAATTAGTCAACCAGCATACTTTAAAGAAGTCTTTGGATTTGAAATCGGCAAGGTAATTAAATTATTGAAATCGTGTCATATTTTATTATAGACATGTCTAATGCATGTTCCTGGTACTTTTATTTATTATTAGCCCAAATCTGTGTGCATTGTGTTAGGTGGGATTGCTGTCTGCTGTTCCACACTTGGTCATGACAATTATTGTGCCTATTGGAGGACAAATTGCTGATTTTCTGCGAAGTAAGCAGATTCTATCGACAACGACTGTGAGGAAAATTATGAATTGTGGAGGTGAGATTACTAGATGACAATATTATTGAATCCATTCCTTTCATCTAAATAGCTCACAAGCCACCCTTAATACATTACAGAAACCACGCACTTTGAATCTAATCTAATATCGAACAACAAGCCTTTTTATATCTTAACATGTCTAGTATATCACCCAAATATCCCCATTAAATCAATCCAAATCACCCGATACCCTTAACAACCCCCTTTAAATTTAAACACAACCCCTAAAATGTCATCCAACCACCTCATTAAATCAAACCAGATCATCTGCATTGTCTAATCACATCAACCAATCACAGCCATTGGTATAATATTTTTATTTTAAGAATAATATGAAAAATATGATATTCCCGGTAAATTCGCTTGAAAGTAAAAAAAAATGGGAACGTCTACTAGACATGACTATTGAATGTATTTACTAAGCACTGAAATAGTAGTGAATTGAAAATCAAATTGCTAAATGTAAGCAAAAGGTTCTGATTTATATATGTTATGCTGCATTTTGCCATTCAGGTTTTAATTTGTTACATTTTACTGTTTAGTGAATGTACCCCATTGTGTTTGATTTTTGTTTTTTCTAAATTATTAATTTTAATGTGCATAAAAATAGACAGCCTTTAAACATCTGAAAACTGTGCTAATCTTAACATTTTAAAAGCAAAATCTACAAAATGAGAAGCCTTCTAGATTGGTAAATATATCATATATTTAAATGCACTTTTTCTATCGCATTCTAGGATTTGGTATGGAAGCAACTCTTCTGTTGGTGGTTGGATATTCTCATAGTAAAGGAGTGGCTATATCATTCCTTATCTTAGCCGTTGGATTCAGTGGATTTGCTATATCTGGTAATAAAGCTCAGACGATTTTGCATGCATTCTAAAAACTTTAATTATAGGTCTTTTTTTTTTATCTGTCATTTGTACTTGAAATATTTCTTCATTCTCTGCCATCTATTGTCTCAATTCAGTATTGTTGTAAAATCTTTCCAAATAACGTATTATTTTTCTATAAGCTTCAAAACTTATTTTTAAAAAAAATGTAAATATCACAAATATATAATATATAGATGTCATATATCATATATAAAAAGTTATATAAAGATATTAAGAATAGCAGAATGTTAAAACATTCTAACATTTTTCATTATATTTAATCATTTTAAAAGTTTATCCAAAAATCTTATCAAACAATATTAAGTTGGGGACAATATTAAATTGAGGCCGATGATATTTAACAGCATTGGGTATTTTTTAACCGTTTACCTTATCCCTATTTTTAAAAACATTGAATTGCAGAATATATGTTTAGATTTTTTT